TGGCGCGATCTCAGCTCACCGCAACCTCCGCCTCCTGGGTTCAGGCAATTCTCCTGCCTCAGCCTCCTGAGTAGCTGGGATTACAGGCACGCGCCAGTTAATGTTTTGTATTTTTAGTAGAGACGGGGTTTCACCTTGTTGACCAGGATGGTCTCAATCTCTTGACCTCGGGATCCACCCGCCTCTGCCTCCCAAAGTGCTAGGATTACAGGCTTGAGCCACCGCGCCCGGCCCAATGGGCTTGTTTTTATCTTGTAAATTTGTTTAAGTTTACCACAGATTATGGATAGTAGTTCAAGGTGTTTTTTCCAATTCTGTGAAGAAAGTCATTGGTAGCTCAATGGGGATAGCATTGAATCTATAAATTATTTTGAGCGGTATGGGCATTTTCATGATATTGATTCTTCCTAACAATGAGCATGGAATGTTTTACCATCTGTTTGTGTCCTCTTTTATTTCCTTCAGCAGTGGTTGATAGCTCTCCTTGAAGAGGTCCTTCACTTCCCTTGGACATTGTATTACTAGGTATTTTATTGTCTTTGTAGCAATTGTGAATGGGATTCACTCATGATTTGGCTTTCTATTTGTCTATTATTTTACAGGAATGCTTGTGATTTTTGCACATTGATTTTTTTATCCTGAGACTTTGCTAAAGTTCCTTATTAGCCTATGGAGATTTTGGGCTTAGACAGTGGGGTTTTCTAAACATACAAGCATGTCATCTGCAAACAAGGACAATTTCAACATCCTTTCTATTTGAATATCCTTTATTTCTTTCTCTTACCTGATGGCCCTAGCCAAAACTTCCAATACTATGTTAATTCGGAATGATGAGAGAGGGCATCCTTATTTTGTGCCAGTTACCAAACAGAATGCTTCCAGTTTTTGCCCATTCAGTATGAAATTGGCTGTGGGTTTGTCATAAATAGCTCTTATTATTTTGAGATGTGATCCATCGATGCCTAGTTTATTGAGAGATTTTAGCTTAAAGGGCTGTTGAATTTTGTCAGAGGCCTTCTCCGCATCTATTGAAATAATCATGTTGTTTTTGTCTTTGGTTCTGTTTATGTGATGAATTACATTTATAGATTTGTGGATGTTGAACCACCATTGCATCCCTGGGATGAAGCCAACTTGATCATGATGGATGAGCTTTTTGATGTGCTGTTGGATTCGGTTTGCCAGTATTTTATTGAAGATTTTTACATCAACATTCATCAGGGACATTGGCCTGAAATTTTCTTTTTTAGTTGTGTCTCTGCCAGGTTTTGGTATCAGGATGATGTTATTCTCATAAAATAAGTTAGGGAGGATTCCCTCCTTTTGTATTGTTTGAAATAGTTTCAGAAGGAATGGTACCAGCTCCTCTTTGTACCTCTGGTAGATTTTGGCTGTGAACTCATCTGGTCCTGGCCATTTTTGGTTGGTAGGCTATTAATTGCTGCATCAACTTCAGACCTTATTATTGGTCTATTCAGGGATTCAACTTCTTCCTGATTTAGTCTTGGGAGAGTGTAAGGGTCCATGAATTTATCTATATCTTCTAGATTTACTGGTTTATGTGCACAGAGGTGTTTAGTAATCTCTGATGGTAGTTTGTAGTTCTGTGGGATTGGTGGTAATATCCCATTTATCATTTTTTATTGCATCTATTTGAATCTTCTCTCCTTTCTTTTTTATTATTCTGGTTAGTGGACTTTCTATTTTGTTGATCTTTTAAAAAAACCAGCTCCCGAATTTATTGATTTTTGAAGGGTTTTTTGTGTCTCTATCTCCTTCAGTTCTGCTCTGATCTTAATTACTTCTTTGCTTCTAGCTTTTGAATTTGTTTGATCTTGCTCTCTAGTTCTTTTAATTGTGATATAAGGGTGTCAATTTTAGATCTTTCCTGGCTTATCATGTGGACATTTAATGCTATAAATTTCCCTCTATTCACTGATTTAAATGTGTCCCAGAGATTCTGGTATGTTGTTAGACTGTACATTTAATAGCCTTTAAGATGAATGGAAAGGTTTTGCTCTTTTTTATGTCATTTTTATATAGAAACCCAAAATTGATTGACAATGTTAGTTTCATCATCCTAAAGATTCTAAATTGATATTTACCATGCATCTATATATAAAATGTAAGACTTGAGAATTAACGGACTTCAGATGAGATTGGTAGAGGAATAAATTGATATTTAATCATGCATATGCAATGGAAAACATAATTATATTCCAGTCAGATATTTTCATTAATACTCTCATAACTCAACTCCGGGTTACATTTGTGAAGTTCAAGGGGTTAGCGTCAAAGCACTTGTTACTGTTTTAAAACCCTGTTCCCCAGAAAAGAGGTGGAATGTCTATCCAATAAGACGTTATTTAAGTACTGTACTAGTTACTTTAAATGCAAATTTTCATTCATTTTTTATAACTATACTGAGAAACAGAAGATTTACTTTATATTTTATATATGAGGAACCAAGGTTTAAAGAATTAATTGCCCAAGGACAGACAATAAGAAAGTATTAAAATCTTATTTTAAATCTGAGTATTCTCATACTAAAATACATGCTCTGAATTCTGCCTAAAAACAATGGAACTTAAACATTTTTAGCTATAACCTCATGTGAAAAATACAAAATCTATTAGCGATTATAGAAAAGAAGGTAACATAATTCTATAATATGCATGTGTAATCATATGTGATCTTCCTAATTGTTGCAGATAAATACAGTTTATTAGTGTTCAATGTGTTCTAAATACGTTTATTAAAATATAAACTATTTTTATATTTTGAATGGTAACTTGTATTACAGAAAACTTTTGAATATAGTAGCAAGCATTACTTTTAAATTCGTAGCTAAGCTCACAATAAAGAGTTTGACATGTATAGGTACAATAAGAAACAAGAAAATTAAAGAACAACAATTGAGTTTTACACATACAGAGACAAGTGTCTAGACTTTGGCCTCCGTGAAGTCAGAGCTGCTGCTGAGATTCTCACAATAGTCTGAAATCCTTGATGGGATATACAGTTATGAAACAAACAACTATAAAATAAGTCTAGTCCATGAAAAGGAAAGAACACAGAGAAATTTTGATTGCCCTGCCTAGACAATAAATGTTGGGGGGAAAAGAAAGTAAAAGAATATGAAATGAATGGAATTTATTATTGTGATTACTTTAAAGGCATATCTAAATTTGAATTAGAATTCAAATTTAAAACTAAA